TATTTTAGAGTCGCAGGGTAATATCATTATGCAGGGTTATCTTTATAATTTGTTTAAAAATCTAAAATTATTTTATAATTGAATAGTTTTTAATGCTAACTTAAAATATTCACACGATTACTGTAATAATAAATTAATTGCCTAATTCACTAAAAATGCAAACATTTTATTTATATTTAATAATAAACCATTGGATATAATTTAAATAAAGTTTTCAAAACTTTTTTAAACCCATTAACACTCAACCAATAGATGGCTATAACTGCACCAAAATTATAGAAATTTGAAAGTTTTTTAAACATTAGTTTAAAGTTTTAATTCTAAGAAAAAACATCAAGCACCAAGCTCAATTCATCTAATCTAGATACATTTATGAAATCCAAATTTTTACAGTTTAATATTGTTTTTAAGAATTAACTAGCTAGTTTTAAATTAATTTCCAACACTTGAATAAGTTATAGAAAAAACCAATTATTTGTCATACATTTCGTTATTTATGTGCGAATACTTGGATTAAAAGTGAATGCAATGCCTATTGAATGCATTTTGAGCACTATTTGAGTAAACATTGGTTTTTCAAAACAATTCAAAACACAATTGCATTGAATTTGAAATGTCTTTACGTTATAATCACTGCAACTGATCCACGAGTCACTCCATAAGGCATGGATCTGATTACTCACGAGTTGGCTAAGTATAAGCGTCTGAATGAGGAATACGCGCAGAAGTTGGACACAATTGAGACGGAAGTGACTCTTTTGAACCAATTGGTGACCAAAGAGCAGGACTTCAGTCAACAGTTGTATGACTTCCTCATGAGTTATCACAACCACCTTAAAGCCAATGGCAGCCAATCATTGCCACTGCAGTCGGCGCTCACCGACAATCAGAAGCTGTTCGCAGACATGACTCATGTCATCAGCAATAAGGACGAAGTGAAGACATTGAGGAAGGCGTTGGACGACTGGCGCCTCGATAACCATCGCTGGAGTAATCATTGATATCAGCCATTCATGGCAACCATATATTCAGTTATTTATTATTTGTTTTATAGTGTCTGTCAATCAGACGAAGGCTAAGACAAACGATGTCCACGTATTGGATGACATCGAAGAGACTGCCGATGCGGCCGAAGAGGGATCAGATAATACGGGATTTATGGTGACGGCAGACATGCCATCGTCAGAGACCACACCTGTGATAGAGATTATTGATAGCCCCCAGAAGGAGGCTTTCAAAGTGCCTGTTCTTGCCGTTCCGGTACAGCTGGAAGTCATACCAAAGCCGGAGCCCATGTCTGACGGCGAGGACGAGGAGACGGACACCGCATCCGAACGCGAGAGTCCTGTGAAGACGAGGTCAGCGATGGCTGCCTCGGAGAGCGCCGGCAAACCATTTATGTTTGTCTCGCAGTATTTGTCGCAAAACATGTCATTCAGTCATCTGTTGGGCACTAATAGCCAGGAAGTGGTCGACAAGAAGCCGGCCGTCAGTGATGACAAACAGCACTCGATTGCCATCGATTTGAACAGCGATTCCGATGAGGCGCCCGACCCTCAGACCAGTGGTAAAAGTATTTTTAATGACGGTATCATTGATCTGACACCTCCTCCAGACAGACAATCGGCTTCTAAGGCTAAAATATGTACGGTTTTTGCAGTTATTGTACTAAAATATGTCTCATATCTTGTGATTGATTTAGTGATCAAAAAGATGGTTAAGACGAAGAAGAAAGTGGTGAAGAAAATAGTGAAGAAATCAGTGAAACCAAAGCTCAGTAATGGAAACCAAAGTAAGA